GAGGGGCGGGATATAAATAAAAAATATTATTATTATTATTATTATTAGCTGAAAAATAAGGATACCGGGAAGTTATCTCATTTTAAACAAACAGAAGCTGAGCAGTAAGCTGAAGCGACACATGGACAGGTAAATAGGAAAAGAGGGGGTAATAGATCCCACTTGTACTAGTGCAGACAGAGAGAGAAGACTACTGAAATGGAGAGAGTGCACCAGGGAGATTAAAAGAAAAGTTCAGATAAGCTTGGCTTATATTTTCTTTTTTACAGAGGGAGAAGTGAAGATCCTTTAGATATATAAAGAAAACAGACGTTAACAAGAATAGCTAAAATTGTGGCAAAAGTGCCTTCACTTTACTACATAGTAAATAAGCCTGAGGGCAGGGAACTGTCAAATTAACAATCTGTAAACTGCTCTGAGAGCCTTTGTAGCTGAAGAGTGGGGTTATAAATACTCTAAATAAATAAAATAAATATGTCAACCACCCCCACTGTAACTGGATCTGAATGATCTGATGTTTGTCTTATGCTTACTAATAAAGAACATATTGACCCTTTTTGTGGCCTTGAATGAAAATTTACTTCTTGTGTCTCCTAGTCCCAACTCGAAGAGTTGCTTTACTCTTTATGTTGCTGGGATAATATGTAAAGTAATTTTAGTCTGCTTTGTACAAGAAGGAAAAATAAAAGCAAAACATTAATACCTGCACTTTGGAAATGGAAGTTCCAGACCATATTTGGACCTTAATGAAATAAAGGGAGCCACCAGAAATGTAATTGGGCTGCCTCTTTTGAATAACATAAAAATGTGCTAAACCTGCATGTTAGCTTTCGTTGTGTGTTTCCTTTAAAAATATACAGAGACAAAAAGAAGGTTCCAAATTTATTCCCATTATGGTGTAAGCAAGCTTTCTTTCATGTTTCTGATATTTCCCATAGCCAGTCAGGTTGCTTCTCTTGTCTGACTTAATGAATTTCTTTACAGGAAGGCCCTCAAAGAAAGAAGAGGAAATCTGAAGTGGTAGACACAGGTGAACAATTAGATCTTTTGGCTATTGGTACTGCAGATGGCAGCATTTTATTATACAGCACAATAAAAGGAGAATTACAGAGCAAATTAGTAAGTATAATTTGCATTGACATTTTTTCCTACTAAGATAAATTATACCTTTTGTTTGCATATATGGTTAGACTAGTTTGATTGTCCTTCATGTGGATCGGTTTAAGAATTGCATATGTTTAATTAATGAATTAATATCCCAACTTTCTCCCAGCACAGGATTCAAGGCAGCCAATGTAGAGATGAATTTAGTAATACTTTGTGATAATATCAGAAATCTTAAGGTTCTGTATCTCTAATGAAAGATAATACAGAGGCAAAGGGAGATGTATTGGTGCATGAGAAACCACAAAATCCATAGTTAGACCAGCTGAAATGTTCCAAAAGTTTGCAGACTTTTGCATTCTCAAACAATTCATCAAGCTGGCTGTATCATCAAATGTTGGTTGTGGAGGAAGAAGCAGGAAGGTCTGAAGATTACAGTTAATATTCCTGTAATATTTCTATGTAAACCTCCCTCCCCTTTGCACTGAGTTACTTGGGTATTTTCTGACTCCAGTGAAATTTCCATTGTATTGAGGGTTGAGGCATAAGGTACGCTTCTTGTATAGTCCAAGGAGAATTTTACTATCTCCCATAATTACAACCTATAGACTTCTGCTTTGCTAGTTCATGTTTTTAAAAACAAAACAAAACAAAAACAGCAATGACAATAACAAGCTTATAGCATTTTTTTTTTGTTTCCCCAATATGTTACATTAGTTGGGACAAAAAAATAAATAAATAAAAATACCCCAGAGACATTTATTAGGGCATTTTTATCCTGGCTATTTTTTGGTCGATAAAAAAGAAAACTAATATGCATAGTGGCTGTTCAGGTGATGATGCTGCGGAGTGCTTACCCTGTAGAACCAATTCTCTGCTGATTCTACAACAAATGTGATGGGGTGGGTCATAAAGTGGCCCATCTTGATGCATGAGAGTTAAGCTCATTTCTAAGATGGAAATTGCAGATGAAGTCACTGGTAGGTGTATAGCAGGGGTAGGCAACCTTTCCCCTTTAAGGGCCAAGGGACTTCAGCTCCCAGAATCCCAGGAGCTATTGGACAACATGGGACTATTGGCCAACATGGCTGAGGCTTCTGGGAGCTGAAGTCCCTCGGCCCTTAAAGGGGAAAGGTTGCCTACCCTGGTGTATAGGTATCAGATTGCATCTAGCAATGCATACCAGTATGAAAAAGCAATCGAAAGGTAACACTAGCGAGGAGAACTCCTTCCTGATCCTCAGCATGTCTGTCCTCATCAGTTTTCTTTTCAGGTGATAACCAGTGTGTGCTCCACTTGGAGAGAAGGGCAGTGAAAGGCAAATAATGAATGAGGTTGTAGATACAGTTCTCAGTAACATTTATCTTTTAGTTTTAAACCCACCCACCCCATGTGAGGGGAGATATCATGCCTGCCTCTTCCTGGTTTGATCTGACCTTCTGTAATAAACTAATTGCTTTCACTTTTTCTTAAGTACAAAGTTACTGGGAATGGATTGGCATGGAATAGCATGAGCGTTAACCATCTAGAACTGTAAAACATGTTGGTCATAGAAGGGTAGCATAGGTTGCTCCACTCCTAGGATGTGATACTGTTTGCTCATACCTTCTTTCTTTTCATCTAGCGTGGCCATGACAATAAAATTAACTGTGTACGGTGGCACCAGGACAATGGGTGCTTATATAGCTGTTCAGATGACAAAAATATCGTGGAATGGAACATAAGGACATGCAAAGTGAAATGGTGAGCCTAGCCTCATGCATAAGAAAGACATTACATGTACTCTATTCTTTCTAGTATTATATATACAGTGGTACCTCTACTTACGAATGCTTCATCTTACGAAAAATTCAACTTACGAAATGCGCCTACAGATAATTTTTGCTTCAACTTACAAAATTGTTCTACTTATGAAATTGACTGGAAGGAGCTGCTTTTTGAATTGCGTGGCATGCTATTGGTTAGTGAAATCTGGCAAAGCAGCACTCTGTTGGCTAGAGAACCAGGAAGTGTTTGCCTTGTGAAACTAAGCTAGGTAGCAT